GAACAACTTTGCTTCTTTGACGTATTACAAATTCTCAATACTTTTTAGATATAAAGGAAACTCGCTCGGCCCCTATAGGCCCCTCATTTTAGGGGCCAGCCCTTTTTTGGATATACCAGTTGAAAGAACTTGTACATCTATACTCCTTTTGTTCTACATGTCTTAACAAAATATTTCTAGGTAAAAAGTTATCGTAGAAAAGGTGTTAAAAATTTTGAAATTCTTGATAGGTCTATTTTCGGGCCATAGCGAGCGTCGGCGCCTCGTACTTCCGGTAGTTGTGATATACAAAAGGCACTTCTCCAAAGGTTGCTCTAGCATCCCTGAAAATTTCACACTTCTATCTTAAATGGTTTTTGAGAACATTGCCGGACAAAGTGACCCTCTATAAATGACAAAATCGCAGAAATCTCCAAACCGGAAGTGACGTCATCAAAACAAAAAAATGTAAACCTAGATTTTTTGATCTTCTATTTAATCCTGAAAGTTTCATGAAAATTGATTAAGCCGTTTTCGAGAACTCGCGTGCACAAAATATGTAAGAAAAAAAATAATAAAAACTGTGGAAAAGAAACCTAAGAATAACAAAAGGTCTTCCGCTGAAGACGGAAGACCTTAATAATAGGGAAAAAAGAAACCGAACGAAAACAATAAGGTCTTCCGTTGGAGACGGAAGACCTTAATAATAATAATAGGGAAAAAGAAACCGAACGAAAACAACAAGGTCTTCCGTTGGAGACGGAAGACCTTAATAACCTTATGCTTTCCGAATAGATACTTGACTGACCTTTCTAGCTAACGGTATTCGGAATTGCTTTACATAGTATGTATATAGTTATATTACATTTTCCGTATCTTACCCGGCTAACTAATTTTAGAAAGTGACGCTACTGATGCGGAATATGTTTTGTATATAGTTTAATAGTTATATTTCATAGCTTCTCCTATCTTAAGTCGACAATTAAGGATATGTACCTTCTACAGTTAATTCAGTTATCAGGATAGGTAGTAAGAAAATATACAATATACTAACTACTTAGTTTAGGTTAGGCTTAAGTTAATATAAGTTTTAAAGTACTAGGCATTGACATGTTTAAGGTGACGACATACATTAAAACATAATCATATTAGCTAATTAGCAGTAATATACATCACAGCAGTTGAGTTAAAATATTTGATTGTTGTAAAGTTTAACATATATTACTGCACTCTTGCACAATTCAATTAGGTAAATCAGTTGTACACACGATTAAGTTATATACTGGTACAACTGAATCTCACTTGACTAAAACCATAAGTCATGAAACCATTCAGTTACAGGACTCCCATGGAAGTAGGTCAGTGTTAGGTCATAGGTAAGTTATATTCCTTTTGGTTATAAATTCAGTGTTAAACATAGGAATGTATAACATACAACATGGATTGCGTATGGCTAAACATGATCATTTTATCCAATGTGGAAGTTGTATGCGGATAATCATAATTCGTATATCAACATACTGTATTCAATCTTGCCACATACAAACATGTTTATCCTGCAGAACTAAAGTGCTAGATGTAATTCCGGCCAAGTTCATGTGGATACATGAATTAATTAATACGTTTACCATGCCATTTAGATAATACTTATTTCTGGTTTACATTCCTCTTATTTAATTACAGTAATTGTACCTCTTTATCAAATAAAACCGGGAGGAATGTAGGTGAGATTGTGTATATAAATATGTATAGCCATCCACTGTGCTGGCCAGCACGCTTACCTAGTCAGTCCAGTCCAGTCCTCAAACCAGTCACCCACGTGTGTGTGTTACCTATTCCCATCTTCCCAAGTCAAGAGTTTCTGATCCGCTCCGCTCCACATAAACCCTTGACCGAATAGGCTAAGTTTGACGGGGTTTACTGTCACACCATCTAGTGAGACATACACATTTTGAACTCTACTGACCTCTGCTATTGGCCAATCGGGGTATACGAATTCAACAGAAAATTCGAGATAATATTGGAAGTTTGTAATAAATTCGATATAATTCAACTAAAAATCTGAGTCAAACCTTTAACTGTGCTATTTAATGATAATGACGTTATCCTTGGGACTAAAACTGGCTTGTTTTCCTGTTTACAATTTAGTTTAAGTTTTAATAAAACAATGATTTTGATTGGTTCATGAAGACTTTCATGAGGCCAATCAGAGAACGCATTTAACCACGTCAAACTTAGCCTATTCGGTCAAGGGTTTATGTGGAGCGGAGCGGATCAGAAACTCTTGACTTGGGAAGATGCCTATTCCTTGACTTGCTTGTTGTACCTGTACGGTATTCACCATGTAGAATTTGGTTTACCGTCGACACCTTAGTTGTATACTTACTTTAAGGTAGGCGATATTCTTACATAGTAAAATATGTCCATATTTTACTACATAATTGTCAAACTTGTACTTCACACATGTGAACTTTACGAGCCATATGTCATCATTCATAATGTCGAGATAATTATTGTCCATCATTTTAGGGCTGTAATCTGATGATTCTTTTCTGGGTTTTTTTTTAGCTTTCACTATATCTATGTATGCATATAGTGTGTCTATGTGCCTATACTGTGCATGACGCACTCGAATAAAGCATTTTCAAAACAAGTGTCAGTTTAGTGATAATTCCTTGACGATGACTGAGGTGGTATGATAAAATGTCTTACCTTAGTGTTACGTTTATGGCACGTCAAATTTACAAAAATGAATTTTGCGATCGCAAAACACAGATTATCTGATAAATACAGTTTCACGATTTGTAATCTATGGTTTACAACTCATAACTGTATTTAACGATCGTGATTTATGCAGTTTACAGACGTGAATCTATATTTATCAACAAAATCTAATGTTAACGTTATTACAGACAGAAAAATTTAGATTAAAATTCGTACACTATACCGTTAAATATAGTTTTTACGATGAATACTATAGTTAACGAATTGAATACTATAATTTACAGTCGATAAACCTACTTTATCAATTGTGAAAGTAGGTTTAGCTAATTTTGGTGAATTTGATGTGTCATAGACGTTGTAACGCGCCAAAGTCGCCGTCATGGTTGGTTGGAAACCTTATAAGTTACTCTCTGCTGACCGAAAAGCCTTTTTGGTTGAAAGTTAAAAGCAATCTGCACGGCAACATGTTGTTGCATTTATCAATTGTGCAATTCTATTACTAGACCTAATGTAACTTCCGTCAGCCATATCATGATTGCCGAAAAAACTGACTACAAATATGCGAAAACGATGTGTAGAACTCTAATCCATCGTTTGTCAAATGTGATCTCAAAATGTTCATCATCAATATGTAAATGGTTTTGGCTTTTTATCACTTTCCCTACGTGGCACTATATGGTTGAGTAGTTCTGACCAGCGATTTAGTGCACAATAATCAAAATACACATCTGAACAATTTTCATGAAGTCAATTTTTTTTGCATTTGATGTTCTTAAGCGTTTCTTTTTCCTTTCAGTAAATTATCATATAAATAAATAAAAATTATGCTAATTAACTGTTAAATATTTATTGGTGTATCTTAAGCGGTTTCAATTTTAGTGCACCTGTCTACGACCTTTTTCGAACAACCCTCGTATATTCCTTGAAACAGATGAGGAAAGCCACACAATTCAGAGTGTTATTTTTTTCGCTTCCAAATTATTAATCACTTTGATGAAGTGTTAGACTGGATTTAGGGTAGCAGAACAGAGATCACTACACAGAATTCACACTTCATATATTTAATTTTCAGGATATGTTTTCGGGAAAAATTTTAAAGGGTGAAATACCACAATTTACATTAAAACATGATCAATTTGACTGCATCTTATTACTTTCTTTACCATATGATTCAATTGAATACTTAAATCATAAGGAATGAATGAAAAGCTACCCAAGTTCTACTGGTATAACAGGGGTTGGAGCAGATTTACTCATCTTTTTTGACGGCTCAGTTTATAAAGCGTGACATGCAAAACCCAGTTTATTCAGAGTCACTTGAATAACTTTTTAATTCATTCCTTTAATACCTTTGCATCGCTCTCGAACGTGTGCACCTTCTTAACACAGTATATGGCGGTACTTGTTGAACCAATTTGTCTAAAAGATTTACTCAACAAAAATTAAAATGTCTGCGTTAATATCTATTTGACAACAAGTTACATTGATTGATTGTTTGTCTGTTAACGTCCCTCTCAGAATTTTACACTTGATCTGGAGGTGCCACCACTTGCCGGTAGAGAGCTACAAAATTTTGTCCTATGCTAGGCACTCAGGGCCTTTGAGCAGTGAGGGATCTTATTCGTGCCAGCACCAACTGCGACACGGGGCCTTGGTTTATATGGTCTCATCCGCAGGACCGGTCTCCATGTCCCCAGTGGGATTCGAACCCGCAACGTAAAATTTAAGTGAATTCAAATTTTAAAAAATAGTGTTAGGGTAATAACGTCATAAAAGGACTGGCAATTCAATTCCTAAAGTGGCGATTCGTCCCTGATAAAACATTTCACAATAATATGTGTGTTTAGAATTACTTTAAGTATAGTCTCTAAAAATATTGTTAGGGAGTTATTGATGACTTTGTAAAATTATTTAACAATTTCTGTTTTTAGGTTGCATTCATATCTTGATGTCACAAAAAGTTCTTTTTAAAACGGAGTAAAACACAGTATGTCTTTATCAAAGTGCTATACCTCTACACCAGAAACAACAAATACAGCTCAACTAGCAAGTCTGCTCAGTTTAGTGTACTGATGTGTTACGTGATATTTTAAAGACAGAAGTGAAACCATCTGATTTGTCAAGAAAAGTTAAAGAATATATAGACAATTTACAAAAACAAGGAAAGCGTACTCAGCTTGATAAAACACAGTTCAAGATGTCCCCAAAACCAACAAAAAAATACAGTGGTGATTATTCTGACTTAGACATATCTTTATTGTATTTACTTCTACGCAATGTAAGTAATTATAAAATAGCACCACATTCAAAAGGCTGGGAAAGATTCCTGATCCCGGAGACAGAAGTGTTGCAGCCAACATTGAAAGAATTCGCCTTCTCAGAAACCAATACTACGGTCACGCAGCTGATCTGTCCCTATCCGACTCAGACATTGCACAGGAATGGCGAAATATCCGGGACATTGTGGTGGAGCTAGAGCGACACCTAGGTACATCCACGGTGTACCAGGATGCTGTCAACACGATAAAAACCTACCAATGGACCCAGTACAGGAGAAAAAATATATAGATTTACTTGGAGATATGGAGGAATTCCATAGAACCGTCAATTGTATTTCAAGTTAGTAGAGAGTTTCACATGTAATTACTTGATGACCTTTCATGAAATATTTTAGGTATATATATATATATATATATATATATAGAGAGAGAGAGAGAGAGAGAGAGAGAGAGAGAGAGAGAAAGCACAGAGAAATTCACTTTTTTCAAGGATACTCACTTCCGCCCCAGCCCGGGGTTGAACTCTCGACCTACGGAATCTTTCTCCTAGCAGTATAGGAACAGCGCGTTAGACCGCTCGGCTATCTAGGCAAGTTAAAAAACTTGCTTTCGAATGTGCCGATGGAATTGTCACAACGCTGCCCTACACTACACGGTCATTGAGAATGGAAGTGAGATACAGTTATTTGGACATTAGTTCAGAGGATCGTTACCAATACATGTTGTGATGAAATATATATATATATATATATATATATATATATATATATATATATATATATATATATATATATATATATATATATATATATATATATATATATATATATATATATATATATATATTTATTTATTTATTTGCAGATCAAATGCAAATGCGGTCCTTTCGAAGTAAGTTTGTTTTACATTCTGGTTAACACACGCCTGTAAGTTAGAACTTAATTATGAATATTCGGGAAAAGTAAAAAGTGTTGAATGTTCTTTCGTCACAAACAGACACTAATATAGTAAGATATAGAGACATATTTTTCAGTTCCTATTAGTTTAGATGACAAAATGTAATAGTATTATGTTATTCACAGTCGCTTTTTAAAGAAAAGACTTTAGGATAAAAATTAAATATAATGTCATATATTTTTTAATGTAGTATAAAAAATTATTATATAAAAATAGGAAATAAATATTTTTAAAATGTCCTTGTGTCTAACATATATATCCTGGTTTCTTACCCACATTGTGGCATAAATATATTACGGAATTTAATAATAATACTTTATTTATAGGTTTAACCATATTGGTGCAAGCACAATTCTTATCCGTAGCCTTACTTAAAGGTCAGTTTTAATGTTGATTTATGGGTCTTATTTTCTTTTCTTGTAGATCCCACAGTTTCAGGAAAGATTGGTATGTCAGATTTAAAATGTTTAGGTCATATGATATTATTTAGGTATTTAAATTTTCAGAATTTCTTTGAGCGAATAACACAGGCAAAATTTCATTAATGGGGTTCTGCATTCTACAAGTCAAACAAAGTTTGCAAATATATCTTACATGGATGCATAATATCCTTAAAATTACTGATTTGTGTACACTTTAAGTATTACATCATAATTTCCATTTCACTAGCATTATAGCATGTCATAAGAAAAAAGATAATAATTTCAGTGGATGGAAAACCTGGTTAATAAAAAATCAAACAAATACAGAAATGATAAGTGAAAACAATTTAATGATTCTTGTCTATTTTAAAATATATTAAACGTATCTCTTTCTACTTCTAGAAATGATAAAAAAAAGTATAACGACGCATTGTGAAGATATCAGCCCCCTATTTGTAAGAACTCGAGCGTTTGAAAAAGCAAAGGAACTACTAGGCATCAATGGGTATGTCGTCATCGGGGGTAATCCTGGCACTGGAAAATCCACAATGGCTAATTTTTTGATAAAACAGTTGATGGAGGAGGGAAAGGACCCTCTTCAACTCTACAAGTTTAAAGACTTATACAAAAGCTTAGCACCCAATGATAATATAGTGGTTTTTATGGATAATGTGTTCGGAGAATTTTCTTTATCCAGTGATGATGTTCAAGACTTTACAAGAACATCTGAGACGACAAAAGAATTGTTTGATACTGATACAGAGAAGTCAAACTATTTGATACTTACAGTAAGAAGTGATATATTGAAGGAGTATACTAGTAAGGTGGAGGATGATACTTTTTTTGTGTCATCACTGGTTGACCTCTCCAGTAAGACATATGCTTTGCAAGAGAATGAGATCCTCCAATTAGCCATTAAGTATGATGTATGTAAGAACATAGAAGAGAAAGAATTTACCAGAAAAGTTTCTGAAATGTCTTTACCTATAGGATTTCCTCAATGCTGTAAATTGGCAAAGGACATTCAAGAAGATATTTTATCTTTAGCAAAAAATCCTGTTATTTTTTTGACAGGTTACTTCGACAATCTTTTCGAGAAACCGACTGCAAAAAACGCGGTTCTCGTGTATATTCTCCTTAGTGGAGGGGAAGTTGACTTTGAATTTTCCGACAATCGTCAAATGGATTTAGAGAAAAAACACGACTCTTTAGATTTTATTGGTCTTAAAACATCTTTTATAAATGATTTTCAAAAGAGTATTAACTGCTTTGATGGATTTTTGACAATTCGAGACTCAATTAGAAATTCTCTGCAGTTTTCCCATAGTTCTGTGCAGGAAACTCTATTTAATTTCCTGTTTTATTCCAATCCTAAAAAAATGATACAAAATTGCCATCATTCTTTACTACAGATATTTACAACAACTAGAAAATCAAACAGCACAAAAATTATCATAGGACAGGAATTATTTGCTGATGTTATTTGTCGTATCGCAAACGTAATTACCGAAAGATCTGTGGCCGGGTACAGGTCAATATCTTTGCTAGAATTATGGAATGATTCAAACTTCCATGAGCATGTTCTGGAAACAGAACAATGTACTTCACTATTCAAAACATGTCAGGATATCAACAGAGATTCAATGATGGTACATTTTTCAAAAGCAGGAAATAGACGATGGGTTGAATATCTGCTGCCAAATTCAGATGAAAGACAAAGATATAGATCACTTAACGTTGCATGCTCAAAAAACCATCCAGATGTTGTTAATCTCATTTTAGCTTCTGGTGAAGAATGTGATCTGAAAACGTGTTTTTACGCAGTGCAAAGTGGTAATTTAGAACTGTTACTTCGAATGTGCGAGCTTGTTGATCTTCATCAAATTGGCTTAACATTAAATCCTGTATGGAGTGACGTCAGGCATAGTTTACTTCAGGAAATCTGTTTGATGCGACAAACGCAATTCATTGAAAAAATATCGGCAAAATATCCCTTTCTTGTAGGTATGAAAAACAGTCAAGGGGCCAGTGTATTGCATTCTGTAGCTGGTTCTGGGGACAAGTATGCATTTAATCTGCTTTTAAAGTTTGAACTTAATCCATATGAAAAAGATCAAGAAAGCAGCCACACCATTCTTACGTGTGCATGTCAAAATGGAAGACTAGATATGGTGAAATATCTTATTGGGAAGTATCCTGCATTAATTGAATCTCATATAGATCTTCATGGTGGAAGTTTATTTCATATGGCAGCGTTCAGTGGAAAAATTGATATGTTTGAATATATACTGAGTCTTTTTGAGAGTGAAAATTTAATATCCATCGAGAGCGGCATGAAGCCTAATATATATACAAAAGATAAAATTGGCCAATCTATCCTCCATGTTGCATGTAGAAATGGTCAGTTAGATATGTGTAAGTACCTAGTGAGTAGATACCCTAAGTTACTGAATGACCAAGACATTACTGGGGCAAATGTCCTCCATTGTGTTGCACTGAGTGGTAATGTACACCTTTTTCAATATTTTTTAAGTAAAGGCTTGGATATTACTTTAACAACACATAAAGGAGCGAATGTGTTACATATATGTTGTAACGGTGGTAGAGAGGAAATGTGTAGGTTTCTAGTGAACATGTATCCAGATTTGTTACATGTTACAGACAATAAAGGACTCAGTGTCTTACATTCAGCTTCCTTTGGGGGAAATTTAGAAATAATATCTTTTCTAATCAAGAAAGGATTGGATATTAATGAATTGTCAAATGATGGTCTGAATATCCTTCATTTTGCTTGTCTCTGGGAGAAACTTGAAGTTTGTTATTACTTACTAGAAAAATATCCAAAATTATTAGATGTCAAGGACAAATTCGATAACTCTACATTACATTATGCAGTCCTGAGTGGTAATGAAAAAATTAAACAATTGATAATTGATAAGGGGATGAAAATTAAATCCATCGAAAAAAAAGGAGAAACAATTTTACATCAAGTGTGTTGCTATGGTAAAACTGACCATTGGGAATATCTGATCGATTACTATTCCGATTTACTGGCGACAAGAGACAATGACGGAATGACAGTGTTACACTCGGCTTGTTTTGGTGGAAATGTGGAAATAGTTACTTATCTAGTCAGAAAAGGCCTGGATATCAATGCAGTTTCCAATGATGGTCAAAGTATTCTTCATATTGCCAGTAGAAATGGAAAGTATGAAGTTTGTGAGTACCTAGTTAATACATATCCACATTTGTTGAGTATTAAAGATAGCGATGGTAATTCAGTTATAGAGGCTGCCTATGAAATTGGAGACATTGATATGATTCAGTTGTTTATGAAAAATAGTGTTATCAGCCAACATTTATAAATATTAATCTTGACAGGAATTATAAGAAGGATCTGTAAAGAATTTTCCTCAAAGTTGAATGGTGATATGAACAAATCCTTTGAACAGCAATTGTATGACATGTGTCAAATAACGTTCAAAATATCGTACAAAAAAGTGTTTCATTGGATCTTAGGTTGGGTAACATTAAAACTGTAAATGTATTTTTGTATTATATGTATGAGTAGTTAGTTTGGTAGGGGATATGCGTGAACTTTGTAATGATTGATTTAAACATCGTCATCTTTATATACTTGAGCATTTTCATCAAACAATATTGTTAATCAAATGTATATTATATCATGATTGAAATAGTAAAGCATTCCAAATAGATGGAACAGGATTCATCACGGCTATTTTCACCAAAGTAAATGGTTTTCCTTGATGATTCGCCTAATATACCCCCCCCCCCATTAGGCTATACGGTAACCTTCATACTTAATAAGTTGCGTATGAATACAATACAGATTCTCATGTTGCATTAGTAATATACACATGGCGAGGCATACATGCCCTATGGAGATATTTCTAGTTTGTTTTCTCGACTTTCATTTCATGAACTATGTACTACTGATCAAAGTTTTACAAAAGAATCTACGGATAAGGTAAACAATGCTATCAGTATTTAATATCTTGATTTATATCTATTCATTTTTATTTAAATTGCTTTCTAAAAATATCTTATCAAATTCTTATAAACTAGATTACAAAATCTTTTGCAGATAAAGAAGAAAATGATTTGCTAAAGATAGTTTTGAATATGGTCGTAAGTTCAATTTAAAGGCAGAATCCTGATAACGTTTTCCTAACTCAATATTATGTGTAAGGGAACAGTTTCCTATTATTTTGACTATAAAGTGATGATTTTTAGGGCGTGATGATCTGAAATAAAAGAAATAACTTTTAAAAAGATATCAAACAGGAACTTTTCTTTATTTTCTGTTCATTTTGACCATCGCCTATTCATTTCTTGCAACACGGGGAGTTTTTCTCCTTTATAATTATTCCTATTGTTTTCCTTATTTTAATGATTCACACATTGACTCATTAATTCTTTTACCAAAAAATAGTCTATATTCAAAGCATTTTATATGAAACATTTAACCTGTTTTAAATTAGGAGCTTTTTATCTTTTTTTTCAAAAGAGTACTAGTTCCTTATGTACCATATAATAATTATATTTTCATTACCAATATCTGATGAAAAGGAAAGTAAGAAGAAAACATAAATCTTGATCATTGACATATTTTTTAAAATACGTATAACCGTTTGAAATCCTGTCTTTCAAGCACTAATTCATTACATTTTCTAGTATTATTTTGTATGACAACAAATGTTTCTTCATTATAGATCTATACCTAATTTTTTGTTTGAATTTAATGCTGTGATAATGTATAATTGTTATTTCTATTTACTGTTTCTTTTTGTTTTCTTTTGATCATGATCAGATATAAAATTTATTTCTGAAAACTTAAGCCCTGCTTCTTACTTTAAATCATTTTTCCATTTGAATCGAATGCATTAATCTTCATGAAAATTAGTGTTTGGAATTTAGATTTATTTTGTGTGAAATATAAAAACAATAAGTCATTACGAGGGGTGATCAAAAAGTTCGCAAACTAATTGAATAACTTCCATGAAAGAAACAATATTTGGTTTCAATGTTGATTATATTTTAGATTAATCCTCTCCGATTTTAATGCACAGCAACCACCGCTTTGCGCATGCGCGAACCACGTGATATTGGCAGTCACGTGGCCCTATGTGTAGCGTTCTTTCACAAAAGTTGAAAGATTTTACTGAGTCTTATATTTCTTTCCATGTGAGTTAATTTTTATGACGAGAACAGTTTATTTGTCAGAAATGGTCAAATCTCGGCAACAGAATGGGTGGTTAAGAATATCATTTTCCAAAAATAAGCATAGCGACTTTAAAACACAAATCTTGCGTCTCGGGAGAGTTTTTTTATTCAAGGTGGATAGAGAATAATAGCCTTCTTTTTATCATATCTAATATGTTTAAAATCAAAAGTAAACGGTATCTTAGGTATTTGATAATTGCTTTCATTGGGCAAAATGACAAGTATCATTTTTAACCATCTGCCTTCCTTCACTGAAACGATCAATCCAATCATTAATTGAATTTAAGGAACTAATTTATCTTAGTAAACTGTGTACAAATTATTATAATTATGATACTGCAGAGGGATATCTAAGATATACAATAAATTGTACAGTCGTTTGTAAAACGAGTTCGACTGAGACAACCATTTTTCGACACAAGTGACCTACATAGTGACGTCATTTTCAAATTGTGACGTCACAAACAAAGAGAAAAACTTTATTCAGCATATGCTATTTATAGACCTTGTGTATGGCTATGTGTGTACCGAATTTCAATCTAATCTGAATTGTGGTTTTGTAGATAAAGAGATAGTTTGCAAACTTTTTGATCACCCTCATTTAAAATGTATGTGTTTTTGGTGTAGAAATCATGATCGCAGTTAATTTTCATTACATATCATAATTTATTATATTTCCTAACTTGATTTTTTATTAATACATTGTGTGTTGGTTATTTTATTTCACTGTATATACTTTATGTTAAACGAATACTGGGTATGTCTTTTTCTTCAATGATTACTCTTATTGTAAATTAAATGAAATTCCATTTATTGAATTTATATTACGAGTGGGCCAGGGTTATTTTTATCTCTTATAAAGGATATATTCAAATATGGTCATATGTAGCTTTTGTACATATTTGGTTTATTTGGTAGGCATTACAATAAATGCTCATTTACAACAAACATTTTGTTTTGATATTTGCAAAAAAACAGAGCAGTGTAGACTCATTCACGGAGAAAATAAATCCATAAATAAATCCATAAAACAATACAAAATAGGAGCAGATCAAACACGGACCTCAGAAACATTGGAGGTGGGATTAGGTGCCATGGAGGAGTGAGCATTCCCTGCCGACCGGTGTCGCATAATATTTGGTCCGCCTCGTTTAAAGGTCCGGCCGGACCTGATACGATAACTCTATCGATGGCTCTATAAGAAAAGGTCCGCCCTCGGCCTATTATACAAATTGTATGCCTGTGTTCATTCGATATTCATTGAAAAACTACTGTTTTAAAATTAATTAAGGATATAAAGTCGTATTAATAGCTAGTGTTTCATCCAAGAGAATATAATAAACAATAGGTAAGAAATTAATACATAAAGAAAGGAATGTACAATTTTTTTAAAAGAAAACATTGATGTAACCATCAATTCTCGCCTAGGAAATATATAAAGTAAACGATGGAAATGAGTATTGATCATCAAACCGCTTCGATATATGTGTGAAAAGGCATGCATCTAATTGATGGAGACGATAGTCGCGAATATTTTGAAAACTTACAGTCGGATATATATAACAAAAACGACACCATTTTAAACTTCAATTCCTCGAGTAAATGTTGGCTGCATAAAATATAAATTGAGTTTCGACATATGCATTGTCTTAGTCTATATGCAAAAATGTATTTAATTTTCAATTTTAGAATATAAAACACGAACTGTACAGAGTACGTTTTTATGCGAGAAGTAAAATTCGATGTTCTAAAAAAGGGGAGTTGTCGCTTTTTCAATAGTAAGCGATAAATAGCTTTATATATTAAGAAAAGCATATATGTTTTGACATATTCATTTTATGGAAGTAAATATATTATGCATCTCGTGATTTATAAAAGGAAAGAACATTCTGATGTACAATCTTGCCAATGTTTGGAAAAACCTTTAATTCTTAATAGCTACTCGAACCCCAATCCCCATACACCAACATTTAAACTTATATCTATAGAGCAGCCCGGTCCTTTGGGCTGCAATAAATTTGTTGAACGAGTTACCTGTCGGGACAACAACGTCAACATTTTCATTTAAAAGAATATTTAAGAATACAAATGTACATACATTTACCTTCACCGCCTGTTTCCTGGCAGATTAATCAGTATACAATGAACAGATGATTGTTCGTAAGTCCAACACGGATCATTAAGTTACACTCTCTTTCCAGTAAGATTGATAAACGTCTATCTTCCACTCGCAAAATAGATAACATCTTTTTAAAAATATTTCTCATTAAAGTATTAATAAACAAAATCGTCATTCTTTACTTTTAATATTATTGTCTATAACTGGAGGGACACTGTGACAGGGACTTATGTCACGGTGTACTACCCTAAACCCCTTATTGTAAAAATAACATGCCTGTTGATTGTACAGTTGGGGGTAGCCTATAATTGTCTTGTTTGAGAAAACCTTAAGTACAATGTCCCCTGTGCTTTTATAAGTTAACACTGCGACTTAATTACCTATTCAAAGGCTTTATATTATATCTACTAAATCTCTGCATTTCCTGAGTCTTGCATTGCATTTTCCAACAGTGTTTGTTATTTTTTCGGAATCCAACATTTTTATTTTCATTTCCGACATTGTTTATTTTTCTTTTTCATATATTCGAATTTTTTTAAAGATACTTTATGACAATTTATAAGATTTACATATATAACAAAGATTGAAATTGTATTATGTATAATATAATATCTATTTCAAATCACATTTTCAATCCAATCATTACATGCATTTTGTATATAACATTATGTCTAGTTATACAGTTATAAGTAAGGGAAAGAGTTCATACCTACATCTGCTCCAGAATCAAATAAGTTTCTCTGACAGCTAAGCAAAGCCTTTTATTTGAATATATAAAATATTTCATTTTAAGGACTTTTATAACGGAAGTATGATTTTTTTTATCATTGCCGAAAAATACTGACATGAATTGACAAATATCAAAGATGAAAACTTTTAAAATGTAAAAACTCTCGGAAATCTACGAAAGCCTACAAGGGTCAAATAAGAAAATAAAGGAAAAAAATTAAGTGGTAATAACGAATTTTATCTCGTAATAACGACCTTTTATTTCTTTATTAT